CTGTTGCACCTCAGGTCATCAGGCATTAGTTAGATTCTTATGAGGAGCGTGCAATCTACATCCCTCACATGCGCAGTTCACAATAGGGTTCATGCTCCTATGAGAATCGAATGCCGCGGTAGATCTGACAGGAGGTGGGGCTCGGGCGGTAATGCTCGCTCACCCACCACCCACCTCCTGCTGTGTGGCCCGGTTCCTAACAGGCCACAGACGGGCGCAGGGGTTGGGGACTCCTTCTCTGGAAAGATTCCATTTCCCATCCCTGCTGACTAGTTGTGGCCATCAGGGAATGGGAAACAGTGACAGGCATCACTTCGTTTCCTGCTTCTTCAGGATCCCCAGCTCACTCACCTCTGGCTGACTATAGAGGACCCAGGGGAGGGCTCCAAGGGTGAAGGGGGTGGCAGAGCCAATGGACAGAAGAATCTTGGATTCCCAGATAGTCTTGATGACTTGGAGGAGGCTTGGAGGAATCAACTCCATTGGGTTTAGCTGCTGAGATAGTCTTGATGACTTGGAGGAGGCTTGGAGGAATCAACTCTGTTGGGTTTAGCTGCTGAGATGGGAGCTGTTCCTGCAGCGTAGCCTAGCACATCCTGAATAGTACACAATGCAAGAAACTTGACCTTCCAGTGCAGATATTAAATATTATTATATAATAATGATAATACTATTTTAAGGACTTTACCTATATTAATTCATTGTTACAAACAGCCCTTTGAAGAGGAGACTATTATCTCCAAGTTAGGCATGAGGAAACACAAGTTAAGCAACTTGCCTGAGCTCATACAACTTGTAGGCAGCCAAGTGAATCTTCTCCCAGGCAGGCTGTGAAGCAGCCCTCCCTCCTAGCCATTGCCCCCACACTGCCTCTCACTCTGACGACGCTTCAGAGTTTCGTGGGCTTGAGGTTATTCGTTTTGGGTAATTTGGGAAGCAGAGCTGGTTAATTACTGATGGGTTGAACATTTTTTTAAAACTCCTGAATCTGTAACAGCACGTCAGATCTTTTATGCATGGGAGTTACTTCAAACCTTCAAGAACAGATAATTCCATGCTAACTGATGTATGTATGTGCATGTGCTGTGCAGCAGTATGAACGGTCATGTGGTTTGTGTCCATGCATGTATGTCTGCATGAGATGGGCATGTATGTGTAAGATGCACTTGAGTAGTGGGTGGAGGGTATGAAGGACATTTGCATGCATTTGGTATGTGTGTGTATGTGTGTGGTGGGCTTATATGTGGTATGTATGTGATGTGTGTATATACATGTTTGTGTTATTGCATGTGTGTGTACATGCGGCATGCACGTGTGCATCGGCATGGTGTACGTGTGGTATGTGGTGTGCGTCCATACGCTATGCATGTGTGTGTGTGTGATGTGGGTCTGTGTAATGTGCCAAGTTTGATGTGTGAGTGTATGTGTTATGTGTGTGCATGCATCTGTATGTGTTTTGGGTGCTGTGTATATGTGTGTCCCACCCACACATGCATACTAGCTACACATATGCATACCACATAACATACCTATACACATAGAGCTTGCCCTCGCCAAGCACACCATGCACAGGCATGCATATGATGTACACAGATGCATACCACCACATGCACAGCACACTTATGCATCCATACATGCTACACACACATCACATGGACACAACTCACCCTTACACACATGTGAAACACACAAGACCACACTGCACACTCTCACACCACCTCCATACTCACTGTCCACACATGCATCACCCTACACCACCACGCTGGGAGTCAGAGCTGGCCTGGACCCCAGGAGATGGCTGCAGAGGGCGAATGTTTGGGAATAAGCGCCATTCGTGAGGTTCACCTTCAATCTGAGCACAGCCACCCTGTTTCCAATTCAAAAAGATCCCCATGCAGCTATGTGGATTCTGCCTCAATTTCCTCCAGAGAGAATTCTCTGAAATTCTTGGTGAGGTTCACAGTTGCAGAGTCACAGCCTCTGGGGCTGTGTGCTCAGGAAAGCGTGGCACATGGGAGCACGTGCCAGTCCTAACTCCAGCCCTAGTCATTTGTCGGGGCACAGCCCAGATGTCACCTCACCCAGGAAGCCTTTGACCCTCGCAGGATGGGGCACCCCTGTTCTGCATTCCCCTGGTTCCCCTTTTTCCACTGGTCACACGGTATTCATAAATTTATACTTTTGTGGTTTATAATATGAAGCTGCTAATATAATATTATGTGTTCCATCTCTGTCTCCCCAAATGGACCTTAACTCCAGGAAGGCAGACTGTGCCCCATCCTGCTGGCATCCCCGGTGCTCAGCCAAGGGCCTGGCGGAGAGGAGCTGCTCTGTTTGTATTCTTGCTGAATGAACGCATCGAATTTTAGCATCGCGGGCTCTGAAAATTAATCTGTTGCCCACATTCCAATCCAGTGTAAAAATGTATGTGTATCCCTCCAGGGAGGAATTACTAGTGGGCAATTTTGGGACCAGCCATGCCTTCCTTCCGGGGTGGTCAGGGGACAGTCTCAGCCTCAGCCCAGGTTGTGCCTCCTGCTTGGACCGAGATGCGTTTGTAGGGGGAGGTGTGAGATGGAGAAACCTGAGGAAGGCGCTTGGCTCTGGGAAGGGCGAGTGGGGTTGGTCCCTGGGCCAGCTCTGTGGGCAGTGGGGGCAGGCTGCAAGCAGGAGGTAAAGGTGTTCACAATGTTGGGGCCACGGCTCTAGGGTATGGCAATAACTTGAAGCCTCAAGGTGTGAGGGACCCCGACCGCAGACTGGCCCTGGCAGGTGGAGGATGCTGCAGGGAGAACCTGGCCCACGACGAGGCTGGGGGACCCAGGGCTGGCAGCTTTGGGAGCACAGGGATGGGGAGTGGGAGAGCCCATGGCAGAGACCCCAGTGCTTTCACAGCAGGTGTGACCCTGGGCTCTTGGAGGCTCTGTGGGTCGTGGCCACTGTCACTGCAGGATGGAGTCGTAAAACATGCAGCAGACGCTGCCTCCTAGGAAGGAGGGAAGCCCCAGGAGTGGGTGGTTGTTCCAGGGCTGAAAGTCTTGTAGTCGCAGGTGAGGCCAGAGCCAGAGACATTTGGAGCAATACTGATGTGGCCCCACTTGGACCATGGGCATAGCCAGTATGGTAGGCGGCTGTCTTAGAAACATACAGGCCTGGGTGGGGATTCTGGTTCAAGCAATTTCCTGAGTGGGTACTCTCAGAAGGGACTTACATCCTCAGCAGGGCGGGCTGGGAGGAAGCAGCTTAGCAAGGATGGTGTTGCTGCTGGAGGCGGCTTCAGGCTGCTCCCAGGGACTGGGGTTGTGAATGGGACCACAGAGTTGGCATCTCCATTATTTGGTCATTAGCTGTGGCAGCTCGAGGGGGTAACGACTGGGATGGCACTCAGGACCTGGGGATGGGCTCTGGCAACAGAAGAGCCCGGGGAGAGGGGGAACCACTACAGTGCCAACCACTGTAGTCGGCGCTACAGACTGAAGGATTGTGTCCTCCCAGAATTTGATTGTTGGAATCCTAACCCTCAATGGGCCAGCATTTGGGGGCAGGGCCTTTGGAAGGTGACTGAGTGGAGCCCTCAGGATTCGGGTGAGTGCTGTTAAATTCTGGAGAGTGCCCTCCCCTCCCACCCTGCCGGACACAGAGAGAGGATGGATGTTTACGCACCAGCAAGTGAACCCTCACCCGACGCCGAAGCTGCCAGGGCCTTGATCTTAGACCTCCCAGCCTCCGCAAATGTGAGCAGTAAGTTTGTGTTGCTGTGAGCCACCTGGCCCATGGCGCTCTGTTATGGCAGCTGGGATGGACTAAGACAGTTGCTGTCCACCCCATGGCCCTGAAATCAGCCTTTAGGCTCTATTTCCACTCTCTGGGGCCCCAGAACGCACCCATGCGACAGTCCCTGGTATCTGCAGGCAGGGTGCTTAGGTTCTGCTCGAGGCCTCTGTGTGTCCCGTGCAGCCCAGAGGCTGGTTGGCGTGTGGACGCTTGGAGAAGACTCCTGAGCTCCTGGTGCAGCTGTGAGGGATGGCAGCAGGCCTCTGCCTCAGCACCACTTTACAAGGAGGGCCTTGTACTCTTGTCATTGTGGGCTGTCTGCGTGGATCCCAGTGATGCTGTTTTCGCAAACGTGGAAGCAAGAGTTGAATATTAAACTGTCTAAGCCGTCATGTTACTGACAAGCTCCACACAGAAAAGGAAATTGTAACCACATGAAATATTTATGCCGCACGTTGCGGTGCTGCTGCTGACGGGATGGCAGGTGGCTGGTTTGTTTGGGGTTTTCTTTTTTATTTTTCCAAAGTGGATTACAAAATGCCCTCCAGTGGGGAAACTGCACCCCACTCCTGGGCCGTCATCTGGAAGGAGGGGTTTACCGTGATTGGAGAGTGAGAGGCTGGGAGAGCTGTCCTGAGGGTGTAGCCCGCTCTCTCTGAGTCCCGAGCCTGGCTGGGAGCAGCGGCACCTGCCCCCACCTCAAAATGGCTGCAATGCAGGGTGCAAGCGTTGCAGCTTTCCACCAGGCAATTGGTATTTTTCCAGATGTAGTTAAAGCAGTCAGGTATTATTTGCCTTTTATTGTTGTTGTTAGTATCACCATCTAATATCTGCTGGGAAACCTGGTTTAAAGAATCCCGTCTAGGATGCTTCCTACACTCCGGTTTGAAGAACCCCTTGGCCTCCTCCCTGGGTTCCCACCGCTCACTTCCACAAGCCTGGGAGGCCCCATCCTCCAGAGGAAGGGCTCGCCACTGTCACCAGCCGATGCAAGTTCCTGTGTGGCGGCACTCTTGCCCACACCCCTTTTCATCATCACAAGAGCCCTACGGGTCTGAACCACCGTGACCCCCTTAGAGGGCAAGACTGAGGTCAGGGTGCTCCCATCACCCACACAAACCCACACGGGCTGGTAAAGGTCAGGCAAGACTTTGACTTGAGTCCATCTGGCCCGAGGGGCTCTAGGGGGTTCAACCCTGACTCACCAAGGACAAGGAGACACAGACTTGTTTTCAGCTTTTCAGAAGTTTTATTATAAAGAGATTTGAGAGAAGCACTGGGCACCAAGACAGACACTCGCCAGGGCCAGGAAACAGCTGCAAACGACGTCAAGAACCCAAACCCAAACCAAACCCCAAAACCACGCACACGGTAGGATAAGCTGCAACTTTGTTCTCAAGGTTTCTCCATAAATAGACAAAAGTCGTCGCTGGCAATGTAAAATAGATGAACACATGGTTAAAAGGAGAGCGGTGCTCCGGGGTGGCTAGCAATCGTCCGGTCCTTGCTGTGAGGATGACGAAACGGTTTGGCAGCCGCTTTTGTGCACGTCTCCCTTAAGATAAAACTTAAAAATGTGCTAAGGATCATATAAAATGATTTTTACCTTAAAGGAAACTACTTTTTTTCCCCACAAAATAATCTTACAGATGTCTTCAGCACAGTTCTAAAACACGTAGTCGACTACTTACACGGAACCAACGGTTTCTAGGTTTCGTCATCTTTTGTTCACACTGGAAAACCGATGTGCACGTCTATGACGGGGGCCGGCCCCCTGGCCCATGCATCTGGGGTGGGTGTCCGTTGGTAAGCGACCCTGCCAGGGGCAGCCCACGTGGGCCGGGGCCGGGGCCAGGCATCCAGACATAGGGTACCGTGCGCAGGGCGAAGACAGGGTCCACAGTTACCCTGGAGCAAGCAGGTCAGCGGGCAGAAGGTTCCTGCAGGTTCTTTGGGCTGGCGGCGGGCAGTGGGCTGCCTCTGCAGAGTCTGGTGGGAGGTCGAGGAAGAGACTCAGCCCCCCGCAATGGGTGTGTCACTGCTCCCTCGGATGGGCCACCCTGCCTCTGGCCAGGGCCTCTTTTCTGCTGTCAGCCCTTCAGGCTCTGAGCAGTGCCTTCCAGCGAGCCTCAGGGATGGTGGGGAGGCGGGATTAGGTGAGGTAGAGCGATTTGTCCCTAGGGAGCAGGCTGTGAGAGAGAGGACGGGCTGTCAAAGCTGTTGGGTACCTCCCCAGGCCAGGGGAGCACCAGGACCCCTGCACTCTACACCCCCCACCCCCACCGGATTCAGCTGCCCCCTGCAGCACAATGAGGGACTTGCAGCTGCTCCCCCACCCCCACCCCACTCTGCACCAAGCCCGTCCTGGAATCCCAGCAGGGGAGCACCTGGGCCTCAGCTCTGGGAGAAAGGGCAGTAGTGTGTCTGTCCTTCATCGAGGCGCACGCTGATGTCACCATTGCTCATATCCGTGTTTAATCACAGGAATTTGTAAATCTCAAACTGAATTAAGGGAGGGACAGGTGCCTTTTATGTTTTTAAAATAGGGCCCTGTTGCAGTCCGACCTCCATGCTGGATGTGATGGGCCAGCCTCAGGAGGCTTGGACGTTGCGTGACACTCCCCTACATGCCCTAAGTATTCTGACTTTTGAGAAGGAAAGTTGGCGGGAAAGGGCTGGGGTAGGAGCGTCTGTACCTGCTTGGGGTCAGGGAAGGGATTCTTGCTGAGCCGAGTCCGCCCACCCACGTAGAATCTCACCCCAGGCATGTCAGAAACGGGGCATGCACGGTGGCCACTTGTTCAGTGCCCAAGGGCGCTGGCGGGGTCAGCAGAGGAATCAGCCCTGTGCTGGGAGGCCGAGGCTAGGGCTGGGGGCAGGGGTTCTCAGCAGCAAGGTGGCCACCCAACAAGTGCGCTGTGGCTTCCAGGGGGTGGCGCTATCCCTGGAACAGCTGCTTGGCACTACATCCCCCAGGTGTGGCTGGAGGACTCGTTCTTGCCAAGGGAATGGGAACCCAGCTGGCGGGTTAAGGAGCAAGTGTCCCTCCTCACTGCATCCTCCCTCTCCTGCTGGCTGGAGTGAAAGGCCCCTCTTCCCCGGAGCTGGGGTGGCGTGGATCCAGGAAGACTTCTAGAGGGAGGTGTTAGCATGGGTTTGAAAGGTGGAGTGCAGGATGGGAATGGAGGCCCACAGGAGGACTAGGGAGGATGCTGGGTTGCAGGGGAAAGGGGTCTCTAAGGTGTCTAATTCCTTGGGATAGACAGTGGGTCCGTTCTCCCACCGTGTCTCACCCAGGTCCCCTATCCTGCATTCTCAGCTGTTCTAGTCTTGGGAGCTGCCCTGCCCAGTGGCCTCCACTCCCCACCGGGGCAGCCCACAGCCGAGGGCTGACTGATGAAGGGGTTAAAAAAGCCAGTTCCCTGACCTCCAGGTGGGAGCCACTCTGGCACAGTTCATGCTCCAGGGCTCTCACGGGATGAGGCGGAAGCGAGTCTTCAGCTGAGGCCACCTCCCCCCTCGGCTCCTTCCCCCACCCCATCCTGCCTCCCTCACCCCCTTCGCCTGCAGGCTTTCCCCAACACATCCCCAACCAAGGACACCCAATCCCTGCTGCCTCAGGCTCTGCTTCTAGGGAACCGGCCTAAGATGCAGGACTCATCTGTGAATGTCACGTGGAAGCATTTGTGAAAAAAACAGGAGCAACGAAGGAGCAGCAAGACTGAAGACTCATCAGTTTCCCAAGCAGGCCTCAGCATCAGGCCAGCAGAGTCCTTCCGGGGCCTGGCTCTGCGGTGTCATCTGAGATCTCGATCCCCTCGGCAGGGCTGACAGTGACTGCAGGGTCCTCCCCTGTCCACATTGCCCGTGGCCATTCTCCCATCCCTGGCCATCCTATTCCCAGTCTCCCTGGCTGGCAGGACAAATGCAGGGACAGGCGAGGACTAACCTGCAGGTGCTGATGCCACACTCCCCACTGGGGTAGCTGCTGTCCCAGTCCCCGCTGCTGGTGGGGTTGGACGGGCCAGGTGAGCAGGATCCCGAGCTGCTGGGGAACTCAGAGATGTGTGAGAAGTCCTACAGATGGGGAAGGAGGCCATGAGCCAAGGAGAGATAAGGGGGCAGACTGTCCCAGGCCTCCCAGGGTGGGAGCCCCTGTGTCCAAGGGTGTCCACACAGAAGAGACACTGCCTCATGTCACCCAGAATTGCCTCTCTGCCTCCAGGGCTGCTGCCTTGCTCCCAGTAGAGCACCCTGAGAAATATTCAACCCTTGTCTTGGCTGAATCAGGGGCTGAAGGACTTTGCTTTCAGGGCCTTTCCCTTTGTGGGTCTCAGTTTCCCAATCTGTAAAATGGAATTACTAAGCCCAATGACCTCTGAGGGCCATGTGAACCTTGTAGCAATCTCTGTGGAACAATTAGCAGGGGTAAGGTCTTGAAGGCTTTGGGAAAGGCCAGGGCTAGGGCTGAGGATGCAGGAAGCGGGGACTGGAATATCCTAAGAGTCAGTCTGGCAACTTGTGAACTGTTCATTGCAGCCAGCGCATCTCAGATAAGGTGTGCGAGACCCACTTCCTAGATGTGGTAACTGAGGCTCAGAGAGGTCAGGTGCCAAGGCTGAGGTTATATCACCGGTCAGTGGCAGGGCTGGGGTTTGAAAGGGCAAAGCCGCTTCCCCTCCCCACACAGTCACAGAGGGCTGTTCCTGCTCTTCCCTGCTTACCTGTGGCCCTGGAGGTGAGGGGCTCATCGCCAGCTGCACCTGGAGTGCCATGGGGGCGGGCAGGACAGGGGGCTGGGGGGCTGGGGACATGCTAACAGGTGGACTGAGGAGGGCGCCCTGGGCGTGAGGGGGCAGTGACAGCTGCTGGTGCAGTGTGGGGCTGAGCGGGAAGGAGGGTGGCGGCGGCGGGGACGCACTGAGGCCTGGCAGCAGAGACTTGGAGCCCAGCGTCCGGGCAAGGCTGGCCGGGGAGGCCCCGCTGCGGAAGGCCTGCAGGTCCGACGGTGTCAGGAAGGAGGCCAGGCCTGGCATGGCATACATGGGCTGCTTGGGTGGGAGCATTTTGGCTGGTGGGTTTGCCTGAGTGCTCTTGGTCTCACCTTGATCCGGGGAGCTCTGGAAGGAGACAGGTATCAGTCACTGGAGAACAGAAGAGGGACGAGCCAGAACTTGGGCTGTGAGGCCAGGAGGCTCTGCAACCCACTGACATGGCCCCTGGCTGGCTCTCTTGGGAGAGAGCTTGAACTAACCAGAGCTAGCACAGGGGCCTCAGTCCCCTTGGCTCTGACCATCCAGCCACCCACTGCTTTTATCTTTGGGGGGCCCCCTCCCCATGGGGGAATCCATGCTCCTCAGCCTGGCCAGTGGGACAAGCACCATCCCACTGAGCCAGCTCTCATCATGCTCCTTCCAGCCTCTGTGCCTTTGCAGATGTTGTTCCCTTGACTTTGAACTGCCTTTTACTTGGCCTTTTATGGACCATTTTGTGTGCCATCTCCTCTGTAGCAGGAACAACACCCACCTCCACTTGGGCCACGCATCCACGGCCACACCTAGCTTCCTACATTGCTGGTGTTGACAGAGGCGGCCGGGGGTGTGGTGACGAGGTGCCATATTTTGGGGTAGCATATCCCAAGCCCCATCAGCGGTCAGAAGTAAAGGCCACATAAAACTGGCAAAACTGGGTTTGAATCCTAGTGCAGCCACTTCAACAAACTGGATCTTTTCAGGCAAATTGCTCAACCCCTCTGGGTATTGGGTTCTCGTTGGAAGAGCCCAGTGGAAAGAAATGTATGTAAAGTGCCCAGAATGAGCCTGGCATGCTGTAGGTGCCCTGCAGACATGACCATGTCGTTCTGACCCATCCTTTCTAAGACCTGGGGTGCTGGCCTTCCCACGGGCCCCGGTTCTTGCTCCATTCCTCAAGTGGCCCCACTCTGATCAGGGCTGTGCCTGGAGATTCCAGGTGTTACCTTGGAGACGAGGCTAGCCCGGTAGGCTGCCAGAGCCTTCAGATATTCCTTCTTGGCTGCTTCTGTCTTCCTCTTATAGGCCTACAAGAGTCAACACATGAGCAACACTGGGGAGAAAGTTGCAGAAGAGATGTGGTGCAGGGTCCTGGGGTGGGAAGGCACGGATTCAAGGATCATGAATGGATGAGGGGGGTGGGGTCAGAAACTGAGTCGGCCAGCCACTGGCCCCATTCTGGGAGCACTGCAGAGAAATGGCGGAGACCAGGCCATATCCCAGTTCCTCAGCAACTCACTGTGTGGCCTTGGCCAACATGCTTCACCTCTCTGGGTCTCCACGTTACATCAGCACAACTGATCACAGAAAGACAAGGCCCTTTGAAGCCCCCATTCTGATCCAGCACAGTACAGATTTCTTAATGCTGAGTCACCTGTGCAACCTAGAATGAACCTACTTGTTCATAGTATATTAGGCTGGATTCTGTGTGCTATTATCTTTTATTAAAAATTTTAGACTTAGATTCATATGTTATCGTAGGATTGGTCCCCGTTTGTTCGCACCTCCTTGTTTCCATGGCTTTTGGTAGAAACAAGGAGGTGTGAACGACTTGGAGCTTAGCCTTGTGTGACTTGTGTTGGCCAATAAAAGCACAAATGTGATGCAAGCAGAGACTGACAAAGTGATCACATATTAGTGAGCCCTCTTGCTACTCTTGGAACTCTTATTTAAAAAATTTTTTTTTGTACATAAGTTCTTTAATGATGATTTCTGAGATTTTGGTGCACCCACCACCTGAGCAGTGTACACTGTACTTCATGTATAGTCTTTTATCCTTCACCGCCCCCATCCTTTCCCCCAAGTCCCAGAAGTCCACTGTATCATTCTTATGCCTTTGTGTCCTCATAGCTTAGTTCCCACTTACGAGAACATACAATGTTTGGTTTTCCATTCCTGAGTTACTTCACTTAGAATAATTGTCTCCAATTCCATCCAGGTTGCTGCAAATGCCATTATTTCCTACCTTTTTATGGCTGAGTAGTATTCCATGGTGTGCGTGTGTGTGTGTGTGTATATATGCACATACATACACACACACACACCCCACATTTTCTTTATCCACTCATTGATTGATGGGCATTTGGGCTGGTTCCATATTTTTGCAATTGTGAACTGGGCTGCTACAAATATGTGTGCAAGTGTCTTTTTTGTACAATTACTTCTCCTCTGGGTGGATACCCAGCAGTGGGACTACTGGATCAAACAGTAGATCTACTCTTAGTTCTTTGGGGAATCTCCACACTGTTTTTCACAGTGGATGGACTAGTTTAGATTCCCACCAACAGTGTAAAAGGGTTCCCTTTTTGCCACATCCATGCCAACATCTATTTTTTTGATTATGGACATTCTTGCAGGAGTAAGGTGGTTTTGATTTGCATTTCCCTGATCATAATGACGTTAAGTATTTTTTAATATGTTTGTTGGCCATTTGTATATTTTGAGAATTATCTATTCATTTCCCTAGCCCAATTTTTGATGGGATTGGTTTTTTTCTTGCTGATTTGAGTTCCTTTGTAGATTCTGGATATTCGTCTTTTGTCAGAAGTACAGATTGTGAAGATTTTCTCCCACTCTATGGGTTGTCTGCTTACCCTGCTAGTTACTTCTTTTGCTGTGCAGCTTTTTAGTTTAATTAAGTCCCATCTATTTATCTTTGCTTTTGTTGCATTTGCTTTTGGGTTCCTTGGTCATGAAGTCTTTGCCTAAGCCAATGTCTAGAAGGGTTTTTCCAGTGTTATCTTCTAGAATTTGTAGGGTTTCAAGTCTTAGATTTAAGTCTTTGATCCATTTTGAGTTGATTTTTGTATAAGGTGAGAGATGAGGATCCAGTTTCACTCTTCTACATGTGGCTTGCCAATTATCCCAGCACCATTCGTTGATTAAGGTGTCCTTTCCCCACTTTGTTTTTGTTTGCTTTGTCAAAGATCGGTTGGTTGTAAGGATTTGGCTTTATTTCTGGGTTCTCTATTCTTTTCCATTGGTCTATATGCCTATTTTTATACCAGTATCATGCTGTTTTGGTGACTATGGCCTTACAGTACAGTTTGAAGTCGGGTACTGTGATGCCTCCAGATTTGTTCTTTTTGCTTAGTCATGCTTTGGCTATGAGGGCTCTTTTTTGGTTCCACATGAATTTTAGGATTGTTTTTTCTAGTTCTGTGAAGAATGACGGTGGTATTTTGATGGGAATTGCATTGAATTTATAGATTGCTTTTGGCAGTATGGTCATTTTCACACTATTGATTCTACCCATCCATCAGCATGGGATGTGCTTCCATTTGTTTCATCTGTGATTTCTTTCAGCAGTGTTTTGTAGTTTTCCTTGTAGAGGTCTTCCACCTCCTTGGTTAGGTATATTCCTAAGTATTTTATTTATTTTTTTTTAAATTTTTTTTGCAGCTAAAGGGGGTTGAGTTCTTGATTTGATTCTCAGCTTGGTCACTGTTGGTGTATAGCAGAGCTATTGATTTGTGTACATTAATTTTGTATCCCGAAACTTTGCTGAATTCATTTACCAGTTCTAGGAGGCTTTTGGATGAGTCTTTAGGTATATGATAATCCCATCGGCAAACTGCGATGGTTTGACTTCCTCTTTACCGATTTGGATGCCCTTTCTTTCTTTCTCTTGTCTGACTGCTCTGGCCAGGACTTCCAGTACTACATGGAATAAAAGTGGTGACAGTGGGCATCCTTGTCTTGGTCTAGTTCTCAGGGGGAATGCTTTCAACTTTTTCCCATTCAGTATAATGTTGGCTCTGGATTTATCATAGATGGCTTTTATTACCTTAAGGTACATCCCTTCTATGCCGATTTTGCTCAGGGTTTTAATCGAAGGGATGCTCAATTTTGTCAAATGCTTTTTCTGTGTCTATTGAGATGATCATTTGGTTTTAAATTCTGTTTATGTGGTATATCACATTTATTGACTTGTGTATGTTAAACCATTCCTGCATCCATGGTATGAAACCCACTTGATCATGGTGGATTATCTTTCTGATACACCATTGAATTCAGTTAGCTAGTACTGTGTTCAGGATTTTTGCATTCATGTTTATCTAGGTATACAATCGTGTCATCAGCAAACAGCAACACTTTGACTTCCTCTTTACAGATTTGGATACTCTTTCTTTCTCTTGTCTGACTGCTCTGGCTAGGACAGTACTCTGTTGAATAGAAGTGGTAAGAGTGGGCATCCTTGTCTTGTTCCAGTTCTCAAGGGGAATGCTTCCAATTTTTCCCCATTCACTATAATGTTGGCTCTGGTTTACCATAGATGGCTTTTGTTACCTTAAGGCATGTTCCTTCTATGCTGATTTTGGGCATAGAAGGAATATTGGCCTGTAGTTTTCTTTGTTGTTGTTATGTCCTTTCCTGGTTTGGGTATTAGGGTGATTAACTGGCTTCATAGAATAATTTAGGAAGGATTCCCTCTTTATTTTGTGGAATGGTGTCCTTTAAAAGTCTGATAGAATTCAGCTGTGAATCTATCTGGTCCTGAACTTTTTTTTGTTGTTGGTAACTTTTAAATTACCATTTCAATCTCACTGCTTGTTATTGGTCTGTTCAGAGCTTCTATTTCGGAATTCCTGATTTAATCTAGGAGGATTGTATATTTCCAGGAATGTATCCATCTCCTCTAGGTTTTCTAGTTTATGTACATAAAAGTGTTCATAGTAGCCTGAATGATCTTTTGTATTTCTGTGGTATCGGTTGCAGTATCTCATGTTTTGTTTCTAAGTGAGCTTATTTGGATCTTCTCTCTTCTTTTCTTGGCTAATCTCACTAATGGTCTATCAGTTTTATCTTTTCAAAGAACCAGCTTTTTGTTTATATATTGTATTTGGTTTCAATTTCATTTAGTTCTTAAACAGCACTGTCTAGTGCTGTCAGTGGAGTATTGAAGTTTCCCACTATTGTTGTTTTACTGTCATTCTCATTTCTTATGTCTAGTAGTAATTGTTTTTTAAATTTGGGAGCTCCAATGTTAGATGCATATACATTTAGGATTGCGATATTTTCCTGTTGGACTAGTTTTATCATTATATAATGTCCCTCTTTGTCTTTTTAAACTGCTGTTGCTTTAACGTTTGTTTGGTCTGATATAAGAATAGCTATTCCTGCTCACTTTTGGTATCCATTTGCATGAAGTATCTTTTTCCACCCCTTTACCTTAAGTTTATGTGAGTCCTTATGTGTCAGGTGAGTCTCTTGAAGACAGCAGATACTCAGTTGGTCAATTCTTATTCATTCTGCTATTCTGTATTTTTAAGTGGAGCATTTAGGCCATTTACATTCAATGTTAGTATTGAGATGTGAGGTACTATTCTTCTATTCATTGTGCTATTTGTTGCCCAAATACCTTGTAGTTTTTTAAAAATTGTGTTATTATTTTAGAGGTCCTGTTAGATTTATGCTTTAAGGAGATTCCATTTTGGTGTATTTCAAAAATTTGTTTCAAGATTGAGCTCTTTTTAGTAGTTCTTGCAGTGCTGGCTTGGTAGTGGCAAATTCAGCATTGGTTTGAAAAAAAGAACTGTATTTTTCTTTCATTTATGAAACTTAGTTTTGCTGGATACAAAATTCTTGGCTAATTGTTTAAGGACCCCAATTCCTTCTAGCTTGTAGGGTTTCTGCTGAGAAATCTGCTGTTAATCTGATAGGGTTTCCTTTCCTTCTTTTTGTGATGAGTTTCTCAGGTGTTCTTTGAGTTTCTTGTGTTTGGATGTCTAGATCTCTAGCAAGGCCAGGGAAGTTTTCCTCAATTATTCCCTCAAATATATTTTCTGAACTTTTATATTTCTCTTCTTCCTCAGGAACACCAATTATTCTTAGATTTGGTCATTTAACATAATCCCAAACTTCTTGAAGGCGTTGTTCATTTGTTAAAATTCTTTGTCTTTGTTGAATTGGGTTAATTTGAAAGCCTTGTCTTTGAGCTCTGAAGTTCTTTCTTCCACTCGTTCAATTCTATTGCTGAGACTTGCCAGTGTATTTTGCATTTCTCTGTGTACTTCATTTCTAGAAGTTGTGATTGTTTTTATTTATGCTATTTCTCTGGAGACTTTTCTATTCATATCCTGTATAATTTTATTTTAACAACCTTCTGAATTCTTTTTCTGGCAATTCAGAGATTTTGTCTTGGTTTGGATCCATTGCTGTTGAACTAGTGTTATCTTTTGGGGATGTTAAATAACCTTGTTTTGTCATATTACCAGAATTATTTTTCTGGTTCCTTCTCATTTGGGTAAAGTATGTCAGAGGGAAGATCTGGGAGTCAAGCGCTGCTGTTCAGATTCTCCTGTTCCTTGGGGTTCTCCCCCTTCCCCTAGGGATGTGTTTTCCTGAGAACCCTGCTGCAGTGGTTGTTATTTCTTTTCTGGATCTAGCCACCCAGCGGAGCTACCAGGCTCCAGGCTAGTACTGGGGAGTGTCTGCAAGGAGTCCTGTAATGTGATCTGTCTTCAGGTCTCTCCATGGATATCAACACCTGCTCCGGTGGAAGTAGCAGGGGAGTGAAGTGGACTCCGTGAGGGTCCTTAGTTGTATTTTTAAGTGCACTGGCTTTGTGTTGGCCTCCAGCCAGGAGGTGGCACTTTCAAGAGTGCATCAGCTGCAGTAGTATAGGGAGAATACAAGCTTGCCCTAGTGTCAGGTGGTGGGCGGGGCCATAGAGTTCCCAAGAGATTATGTCCTTTGTCTTGGTCTTTCTCTACCTGCCCTGTTAGCCTATCAGGTAGGGGCAGGGTTAGGCGTGTCTGAGCTCAGACTCTCCTTAGGTGGGGCTTGCTGCAGATGCTGTGGGGGGTGTGGTTCCCAGGGGGATTATGGCTGACTCTGCTGCATCACACAGGTCATCAGGGAAGTGAGGGAAAGCTGGCAGCCACAGGCTGGTCTCACTCCCACCATGCACCCCCAACAGCACTGAGTTTATTTCCAGGCAGCCAGTGAACAGGGCTGAGAACTTGCCCCAGGCTACAGGCCTCCCAGCTGAGAAAGCAAGCCAACTCTCACAGTTCCTTGGCTGTCCCAGAGAGTCTGCAGCAGCAATCCACCTCCTTCAAAGGGTCTATGGATTCTTCTGGCTTTCCTAGCATGTTCCTGTGGTAGTTCTTGGAGCAAAAGTTCACAATGTGAGTCTCCATGTGCTGCTCTGTCTGTCCGAGTGGGAGCTGCAAGTTAGTCCTGCCTCCTTTCCATCATTTTTCTGCTCTAAAACTGCTCTTGGAACTCTGACTTGCTATGTGAATAAGCATGAGCTAGTCTGCTGGATGATGAGAGACACATGGCCCAGTTTGGCTCCACTGCTCCAGCTGACAGCCATCCAACTCCCAGAAGCAGAGATGCCTAATTTACTGTAGTTTACCACTGATGCAAATGGGTGAGCCCAGCCAAGAACAGCAGCAGAGCCATCCTGCTGAGCCCAGAACAGTTCATGGACCCTCAGAATCATAAGCTGAATAAATGATTATTGTTTTAAACCATTAAATTTTGGTATTGTTTACTACACATTCAAAATTAAATGATGCAGTTAGCTTCATTATGTTTTAGTGTCAGGGTTACATTGTATATAAGGATTTGTGAGAAGGTTTTCTTATTTTTCTAAGTCTTGGAATTATTAACTCTTTGATGATTTGAAAGAACTTTCCTATCCATCATCTAGGCTTGAAACGTTTGGGGGATAGGCAGGGGTTTTTTATTTCCTATTATTTTCTCACTACCTCTCTTGGTTGTTAGTGTATTAAAAGTAAAATAAGAATATAAGTCACATTTCTAAATGTGATTTCAAAAACTGACACAAGCTAACATCCAGCCTTATGCTTAATAGTGAAACATGAGAGGTAATGCAAAGTAAGAAGACCACTATCCCCACCATTGCTGAACATCTCTTTTTTAGAAGTCCTAGTCAACATAACTGGGAAAAGAAAACAAAATTAGAAATCTGAGAAGTGAGGAGACAAAATAAGGAGACAAGGCTGGATGTAGTGGCTCATGCCTCTAATCCCAGCACTTTGGGGGGCATTTGAGGCTAAGAGTTTGTCAGCCTGAGCAACACAGCAAGACCCTGTCTCTATAAAAAAAAAATGAAAAAAATTTTGTGGGGCATGGTGATGCACGGCACGCCTGTAGGCCCAGCTACTTGGGAAGATGAGCTGGGAAAAGTGCTTGAGCCCAGGAGTTCAAGGCTGCAATGAGCTATGATCATGCCACTAACCTCTAGCCTGGGTGACAGAGCAACACCCTGTCTCTTAAATAACAAAGGAGACAAAATTATTGTTTGTAAAAGATATATGTGTATAAATATGTAGATAATTAGACACTTTTTTTAAGCCTAGAAGACTCAGGAATTAAAAATGATCAGAAATGATTAATTTGTAACTGCCAAGCTTACTATTTTAATCCCTAACTTTTTATACATCAACAATTTGCTAGGAAAATGGGGAGAAACATGCCATTTATAAATGCATTAAGTAAAAGGAGAGATATGCCCATTATTGGATGGGAATAAATTATATGCCAAGTTCTTGGGTTAGAAATAAAACACCAGGTGGGTAAGCAGAAATGAAACCAACACAGGGGCTGGGACTCTCAACCGCCTTTGCTTGTCTCTGGGCTGTGCTGAACAAAGTCAGAGAAAGCATCAGGAAAGGAATGCCTAGGGACACAGCACCTGAGACCACTGTCTCCCCAGACTGTATAAAAGGGCAAGCAAATTCCCCCACCAAACAAAAAAACCTGAAGTCTTTTGAAAGGGAATTGGTTGGTTGCCAACAAAACACACAAGTGAAAAAGACATGTCCCTGTAGCAAAAGCCACAGTGCCCTGCCAATATCCCCCAGTCCTTACCCCTGTCCTACAAACATGCTCTACTTCCAGCTGCCACCGGCTATATTCCTTTGCCTGGGGGTCCCTCTGGTGGCAGGAGCCTGGCATGTGTAGCAGGTCAGAGGTGCTGCAGAAGGAAGGAATGCTGGTGTCCACCCCAGCACCCTTGCCCCTCAGACAGGATGACCCTGAGGCCTGGCACATTCTAAGCAGGCTCCTGAGTTCTCAGCGGGACTGTGCTCCAGTTGCCCATGGTGGATTCTCCTGGGACAATGTGCCCTTTCCTGGCTGCCCTCCTTTCCCTGTCTCATTTCCCTACTCTCCTACCAGAGGTGGGGGTCATCTCACAAATAAATTCTCTGCATTGTAACATATTCCAAAATTACCTAAAATTTTAGAATACGGTAAAGGAGATGTTTCAAATAAGTCAGTAATTCATCTCTCTGCCCCAAGCCTGCTACTTTCCCCATATTTCCCATCCAGTGACTGGCATCTCCATTTACTCAGAATGGAAGCCAGATGCAAGGAGGCTGCCAGGATGTCCCCTACCCCAAACCATTCTAGAAGATGCTCCAGGCCGGGCGCGGTGGCTCAAGCCTGTAATCCCAGCACTTTGGGAGGCCGAGACGGGCGGATCACGAGGTCAGGAGATCGAGACCATCCTGGCTAACACGGTGAAACCCCGTCTCTACTAAAAATACAAGAAAATTAGCCGGGCGAGGTGGCGGGCGCCTGTAGTCCCAGCTACTCGGGAGGCTGAGGCAGGAGAATGGCGTGAACCCGGGAGGAGGAGCTTGCAGTGAGCCGAGATCGCGCCACTGCACTCCAGCCTGGGGCACAGAGCAAGACTCCATCTCAAAAAAAAAAAAAAAAAAAAAAAAAAGAAGATGCTCCAGGCCCCACCTTCCCCCACCTGGATGACTGTGCACCCTCCACATCTACTCTTACCTGCCTTATGCTGCCATTCTGGTCTCTCCTCTGCATAAAACTCTTCACTGGCTTTCTCTCCTCTTAGAACAGGGCCTGACTCCTTCCAAGGTCTGCAAAGCCCAGCGTGATCTGGCCCCTGCCTTCCTTTCCAGCTCCGTCTCTGCCATGGGGACTCTCACTGTCCCCTCTGGCCATCCTGGTCTCCTTTCAGTCCCCTGTGCTTTTCCAGCTCCTTCCCTTACCAGGCCTCCCTGCCTGGAACACTTCCCCTCCTCCAAAGAGAACTCACTCTTCAGGTCTCACCTGGAGACCGGACCCCAGCGACAATGTCCGTCCCTGCTCTTTCGACTCTCGTGAACTATGTATCCTCCTGGTGCGTGGCACAATCACAACTGTAAGTTTACACTTACTCATCTGCTTATTTGATTCATGTCTCTCATGCCAACATCCCAACTGAGCCTCCTGCTTCTACAGATGTGAGTTCAAATCCTGACTACCGTGATTCACGCTGGTGACCCTGGGCGAGTCACTTTACCTCTTGGTGTCTCTACCAAAACAGGAAGGCAATGGCTACTCCACAGGGTGTTGTAAGGATTCAGTGAAATACCGGAGGGAGAGCTCAGCCCAGACAAGAGCTCAGAGAATGAGTTGCCATCACCCCTGTTTTATAGACATGAAAACCGAGGCTCAGAGTTTAGGTGGTCAGCCTGAGGTCACACAGCTGGCAGCTCCCTTTGCCTACCAGCTAGTTCTGCTCTCTGTTCTCCCTGGAGGCCTTTAGGGGAGGCCACAGGCACATGGTCAGTGGGATAGGAAGCTCTGGCCTGGACTCCAGACTTTGAGGGTTGGAGGGACAAGATGGATGGAGATGCTTGTTCTCATTTTATCAAGGGGGAAGCAGAGGTTCAGAGTGGTTAAGCTGCTAGTAAGTGCAGTTGGTTACTAGAATTGGAAGGCAGCCAGCTTCCCAGTTTACGGATGGGCAACTGAGCCCAGGAAAGACCTCTGCAAGAGTCTCAGTTCCAGGGCTGGGCCTGGTTTCAGACCTTCAAAGTGTGTCCTTGGCTCCAAGACCACAAAGCCTCAGGGGATGGCCCAGAAAGAGAGGGAGGCTCACCTGCTTCTGTTCCTCTCCCAGGCTGTCCCACATGGAGGCCACGATTTTGGACACATCACCGAAAGTGGCACTAGGGTTCTGACCCTTGATGGCGGCCTGAGTGTCTCTGAAGAAGAGTGCGTAGGCCGACACAGGCTTCTGCGGCTCGTTGGGGTCCTTCTTTTTCTTCTTCTTTGGGTTCTTGGCCTTTTTTCCTGGGTCGGCTGAAGGTCTCTTTTCTCCCGATATCTGCCCGAGTGAGAAGAGTCAGATAACCAAAGAAGCCCAAGGGCCTCCTGCCAAAGGCAATCCACACAGACTCCGGCCAAGCTGCGCTTTTCCAGCCCTGCTCAGGCACAGATAACCACTCGCGATGGGGAAAGGGCAATGGCCAGACAGACACACACACCCTGGGTGGGTGTTTAACTCATTAAAGAGAACCAGCATGATTGTAAAGTTGATTCAGAGAAATGCAGGAGGAGAAGATGACTGTATAGTCACTGAAAGAATGGAAAGAATGCTGGAATTAGATTGCTAAATTACACGTAAAAGTGGTTAGTGCCAATAGAACGCTAAAACTATCACCTTTAGGACTTTTAATCTTTTCTACTGGACAGAAATTCGCATCTCTACTGGGCAAAGTTAATTTGCCTTATCAGACAAAAATCACATCTCTTATTACATTTTTCCCCCCCAAGGTAACCTCTTCTTTTACAGAGTTATAAAATCCCCTAATCAATAATGAATAATGAATCAAAGCAAAGGTCCACTTTCCTAGAGAATCAGATAATTCTTGAGTAAGCCTGTGAGCCAATGCTTTGGTATGACATTGAAAGAATGTGCAGTTATTTGGGGGCCTATTTCCAAGTTTGGAGTGTGTGTGCATGTGTATGTGTGTAAATATATATACACACACACATATGTGTGTATATACGTGTGTATATACCTGTATATATGTGTATATATACATGTATATATGTGTGTATATATAGATATATATAGATATGTGTATAGATGTGTCTATATAGATATAGATCTATATATAGATACATGTCTATATACATATATATCTATATAGATACGTGTCTAGATAGATATATATCTATATAGATATGTGTCTAGATAGATATCTATCTATATATATATGCTCTCCCACTTGTGATCACAAATAATCCCCAAAAAGGATCCTGCATTACAAAAGGCTAGTCTCCACCACCATGTTTCAGCTGTGCAGCTTTGAGCAGGTAGCTTAGTCCCTGGACCCCTGTAAAGTGGGGAGGGGATGAAGCTACAGCGACTGTTACTGGGTCAGCCGTGGAGCCAGTGGCTTCACCCTGGACAGACCGCAGGACCATGATCCTGTGAACACTGACTTAGGGCTTCCAGGGTGGGGGGGTGGTTGGGTTGCCCACCACAGACCTCAGTGGGGCTCTGTTGGGTCACTCAAGCCATGCAGGTACAGGGGACTTTGGTCAAAAGCCCTGGACCCTGCAGTGAAGACTCTGGCTCTAGGAGCCAAGAAGATGGAGGTGACACGTTGAACTGATGATAAAGCCATGGGCCAGTAGGCGTGATCAGGCATCCATGTCTGAAGAACATGGTTCTGTTCCTGAGGCTTATCTCTGCAGCCACCCTCTTCTCCAAGCCCCAGTTATGTTAGCACCACGGTGTGGCCCTAGCAAGATCAGGGATGAAGAGGCATGTTGTCATTGATAAAGTCCTGAACAGGCACAGCAGGGCAGGGGGTTGAGGGCACATGCACTGGACTACACCTGCAGCCTCCTGGGTTTGAATCCTGGTTCCCCCACTTACTAGCTGTATGATAACAGATACATTATTTCCCCCTCTGCCAAACAGAGGTAATAACAGTCCCTGTCCCAGAGGACTTTTATGAGGATTACATGGACGTATACTTGTTACGTGTTTAGAGCAGTGTCTGGCCTGTAGGGAGTGTTTGTTAAACAAAAACTGTTCCTGCATGAACTATAATAGAGGTTGAGTCATCCTTAGGATGAAGCTGGGCCAGGATCCAGAGGTAAACTCCCTTTCCCCCCGAAGTCCAGGGTTACTGCCCCAGGTCTCTGGGAGGCCACCATGTGGAAGGGACACTGGATCGACAGAGGTAGGACGCACGAAGGGAGGTAAGTCTTGATTCCACCACAAGCTTGCTGGGAGGCCCCAGGCAAACACTTCTGTCTTTGGCCTTTCTGGGCCTCTGTTTTCCTCCCTGGTAAGACACGATGTTCTCTCACTGGGAGGTGGATTTGGAGTCAAAGCAAAGAAGGGCCAGAGCCTGGACAGGTGGCAGGTTCTCATCCCTACCATGTCTACCATGTTCTTGAAGAGGTCAAACCAGTCGACTCCAGGAATGTTGGGGGAACCCATGTTCCCACTGCGGTGGGGGGGGGGGGTCATTTTTGCACCCCACCCTCAAGGTCAGTGAATACTCTAGGCCCAGAGGTGCTGCCTCCTGGATCACACAGTTTTGTCAGAATATTTTCTCCTAAAAGGGCCAAATGGCCGCAAATGTGACCCCAATGGCCTTGCTGAAGCCGTCCACACCTCTGAAATCGCCCACTGGCCTTCAGGAGTCAGGCTTTGCCAACTTTCACAGGATTGTCTCACCCCATCCCCTCGACATTTGTTGGAATTTTCTCTGCTTTACACACAAGGCTGTGGGAGCCCCGAGGGGACACAGCTTGTCAAGGACACTCAGCACATGGAGCAGCCAAAGCCCTATGTCCCAAGGCCCATAGGTGCCATCCCCCTGACCAGGTGCTCCACCTGCCAATGTGCTTTTTCCTTGGCTTCCAGCGTGGCCTGGGTGTCTTAACAGAAAACCACTGAGCTCTGCGGCGGATATCCCAACCACCACCCGGAAGGCCTGCTCAGTCCCAAGACATCGGGCTTTTCTAGTCTTGACTAGAGGGAGGTGATGCCCATTTCCCCACAGGACCTCTTCCCTGCCGACAGGAGAGCAGCTTCAGGCTCTGTTCCTGCACTGCACATACCTTGAAATGCGCTTCCGACTCCTCTTCCTGCGTGGAGCTGGAGGGAGAGGGGGTTGCTGACTTGCTCCCCGGGGGTGATGGGGAGCTGTGGGCGATGCTGCTCCGGATGCCCATCTGCGAGATGAGCTGGGACTGGCTGAGGGCACTCATGTGGCTGGCCAGCATTGCCGGGCGACCCAGCAGGGGCCCGGGCCGGCCTGAGTCATAGGCGGCCACCTCCGAGTGGACCATCTCCTGGATCTAAGAGAGGAGGACAGGGGATTTGAGTTAGGAAGGATCTGTCCTGCCACTCCATCACATCTGTGCTAGCAGACTGGGAGGACGGAATGCAGAGGAGAAGTGATGGGTATGGCTCCTGCTCCGATCCCTGACAGGCGAATCTCAAGATGGAGCCCCAGTGCATTCGTGGGAAAACGGCAGCTCCGTGGCTGTGTGCCATTCTACTGACTCTCACCTCGGACAGATGCTTTGCATTTCAGCCCCTGCCAGAGAGCTCAGTCCGGTTATGTTGGATCATTTGATGAGACTGAGTCTTCCCTCCTGGAATGTGATATGTCTCTGCATGAACTGAGCAGTCAGCATGACAGCAAAGCCCACAGATGCTGGACGCTAACTACATTTTGAATCCTGGTCCTGCCATCTACCAGCTGGGTGACTTTGGCCAAGTTACTTAACCTCTTTGTGCCTCAGTTTCTTCATCTGTAAAATGTGGATATGAGCAAACCTACACGCTAGGGTTCTTAAAGATCAAATGTACCTGGCATACCGTGAGCCCTATGTTGTATAAGCATGTGTTAAATACATTGAATAAATTTCTTGATAAAGTTGAGCACTTTCCTTCCTACAGGTCAGCAATTTTATTGTTAACTCCATTCCCCATGATATTTTCTAACTGGTTGCTTTTGGAATATAAGCAAACTACTGGTTTTTACATATAAGCATTTCTCACACTAAACACACATTTAGAATGACTTTGGACCTAAATATGTGTCCACGCCCTGTTCAGTGAGGCGTACCTATTTGCATACTCTTATGAGTTTTCTTTCCTCTGCATCTGTGGTTATTTCCCCTTTCTAATTTCTAACATCAAGTATCTGGTTTTTCTCTCATTTTTTCTTCATTAGGAAAACAAATGGGCTTTCAGTTTTATGTGGGTTGTTTCTTTTCTCCTCAAAAGAATCAAATCTCAAGTTTATCACTTCTGCTTCTCTGTTTTCTAATTCTTTAATATCTCATTTTATCTTTATCCCTTCCTCCGCATTTTAAAGATTTATAGTTGCTGCTTCCCCCTCAATTTTGTTATATTTTTAAATTGACAAATGACAAATTGTATATATTTATATGTGCGATATGTTTTGATGCATATATACACTGTGAAATAATTAATATATTCATCACTTCATATAACATTGCTCAGATTAGAACGTTTAAAATCTACTTTCTTTGTTCCAAGAGTTGTTCAAGAAGAGTTCTGGAATACCATTTGACCCAGCAATCCCATTACTGGGTATGTACCCAGAGGAATATAAATCATTCTATTATAAAGATACAAGCACGTGTATGTTCATTGCAGCATTATTCACAATAGCAAAGACACGCAATCAGCCCAGATACCCATCAATGATACACTGGATAAAGAAAATGTGGTACATATACACCATGGAATACTATACAGTCATAAAAAGGAATGAGATCATGTCCTTTGTAGGGACATGGATAGAGCTGGAAGCCATCAACCTCAGCAAACTAACGCAGGAACAGAAAACCAAACACCTCATGTTCTCACTTATGAGTGGAAGCTGACCAATGTGAACACTTAGACACAGGGAGGGAAACCACACACTGGGGCCTGTTGTCAGAGGCAAGAGGAGGGAGGGCATCAAGAAAAATGCTAATGCATGCTGGGTTTCATACCTAAGTGATGGGTCGATAGGTACAGCAAACCACCATGGCATACATTTACCTATGTAACAAACCTGCGCACCCTGCACATATACCCTGGAACTTAAAAAAGAGAATCTAACTAAAAGAGTTCTGGAAATTCTAAGTGGCTAATTTTCTTTTTCTTTTGGCTACAATTTCTAGTAACAAAAATGAGGAAAGAATGGGGTCTGTACTATTCACCAAGTTTGAGATTTTGTTAAGGTTTTCTTTGGGACCCAAATATGATTAAATTGTGTACATATTCCACAGTCCTTACAAAGAATAGGGCGTGTTTGCAGATGAATACAGCAGTATAATATTTATCCATTCCATCAGTGATTATTCTTTAGATTCCTTACCTTTTTGGCTCTTTAATCTTACACAGTCTTGTCCAGATTGCCTGCAATTTTTTCTGCTTCCATAAAAAATTTCCCTTTAATGCATAAAGTGTTTGTTTTGGGCATTTGATGTTGGTTTGGTTTTGTTTTTGAGACGGAGTCTTGCTTTGTCATCCAGGCTGGAGTGCAGTGGGCTCACTGCAACCTCTGCCTCCTGGGTTCAAGTGATTCCCCTGCCTCAGCCTCCCAGGTAAGCTGGGACGACAGGTGGTGCCCCCATGCCTAATTTTTATATTTTTAGTAGAGACGGGGTTTCGCCATATTGGCCAGGCTGGTCTCGAACTCCTGACCTCAAGTGATCTGCCCACCTTGGCCTCCCAAAGTGCTGGGATTACAGGCATGAGCCACCATGCCCGGCCCTGATGTTGGTTTTTATCGCAAAAAGCAGACAGACAATTATATCTTCATTATGGGGATTAAACTATTATCTTTTTTGGTCTAATTTTTTGCCTCAAATTCCGTGAAGTCTGATATTAATAATGCTGTCCTTGCCTGTATATGTGTTTGAATGTGTCTGGCATGTCTTTTTTTTATAACATATCTCTTAGTTTTTATTTTTTAGGGTTACTTTTGTCAAATAGTGTTTTTGTTATGATCAGCTTTAGAAAATGAACTTTTCCCTTATGCCCTAGAACAGAATAAACAACATATAAATTACATTTTCCTTAGAGAATGAAAGAGCTTAAACAGAAAACCATCTGAGGCCCAGTGCTTTTTGTTTTCACAATATCCTTCATGGCTAATAGGTCTATTTTAGTTTCCATTTTCTCTTGAGTCAGTTTTGGTAAATGTTTTATATATATATATATATATATGTATATACACACACATACACACACACACACACACACACACACACACACACACACACACATTTATTCATTTTATCCAGATACTAACACATACTAGCATATAACTGGATAATATGTTTTTAAATACACTCTATGGTTTTCATCCATTCCCATTCACAATTGTAATATTGTGAACACATGTTGCTTTTTAAAATTTTCCTTCTCAAAAGTTTATATATTTTTTCATTTGAGACATAGTCTTCCTCTGTTGCCCACACTGGAGTGCAGTGACACTGTCTCGGCTCACCACAACCTCCACCTCCTGGGTTCAAGCGATTTTCCTGCCTAAGCCTCCTGAGTAGCTGGGATTACAGGCACATGTCACCACATCTGGCTACTTTTTGTATTTTTAGTAGAGACGGGGTTTTGCCATGTTGGCCAAGCTGGTCTCAAACTCCTGACCTCAAGTGATCCAATCCACCCGTCTCAGCCTCCCAAAGGGCTGGAATTATAGGCATGAGTCACTGCACCCGGCCAAAACTTTATATATTTCAACTGTCTAGCCAAAGAACCAGCTCTTAAATTTTTAAAAAAATTGACAACTTTCATAATTCATTAAATTCTGCTTTCTTCTCTATTAATGTTGACTTGAGGTATCATATGTTGTTGTTTACATAGGTTTTCAAATTAAGCTATTTTCACACTTTCTTTTTTAGTAATAGAAACATCTAGGGCAGGAATTGAGACAAGCAATTTTACCATGCAGGAGGCATTTCTCTGAAGACATTTTTGGTTCTGACAACTGGAGGGTGGGAAGCTACAGGTATCTGCTGGGTAGTGGCCAGGGACGTTCCCACCAAACAAAGAATTATTCATCCCAAAATGTCAATAGTGCTGAGGTTGAGAAACCCTGCTCTGTAACTATGATTTTTCTCCTGAGGAGAATTTTAGCTACATGTGAATATTTTTTAAATATTCTATGCTGATTATTTTATTTCTTACCCTAAAATTATTTGGAAGAGTGATTTTATTTAATGTATCCTTTGTTATGATCAGAGACCATGAATCCTAGAATTTTATCTTTTTGGAATGTAGTGAGGTTTTTGTTATAGCTTAGGATATGATCAATTTGTTTTTCCTTTTTTTTAAAACTTTTAGGTTCAGGGATATATGTGAAGGTTTATTATGCAGACAAATTGCATGTCACAGGGGTTTGGTGTACAGACTATTTTGTCACCCAAGTATGATCCATTTTTTTAAAACTGTTCATGTATATTGGAAATAATACTGTATATTGTACACATGTCTCCATATGTCTATTCAATAAACAGTTTTGACTACTTTAGGTGTAAAATCTCAAAAGAATTGGCTTATTTCACTTAGCTTAAGGTCCTCAAGGTTCATCCATGTGATAGCTGAATCGGAACTTTCTTCCCTTTTTAAGGCTGAGCAATACACCCTTATATGTATGGATGACATTTTGCTTATCCATTCATCTGCTGGTAGGCACTTGGTTGGGCATTATGAATAATGCTGCTGGGAACGTGGGTGCACACGTATCTCATGGAGACTCTGCTTTCAATTCTCTTGAGTAGACACCCAGCATTCCAATTGCTGTATCTATAGTAATTCTGTTCTTAATTTTTAAGAAACCACCATACTGTTTTCCATAAAGCCTGCCATTCCTATTGTGTTTCCAGCAGTTTCTCTCTAAAATTTAAACAGATTTTCTTCATACATACTGATGTGAAGTTATTTATCCTGTAAATGTCCCAGAATGCTATGTCTTTACTGTGGCTTCTCCTTGCTCATAAAAAAAATAAGCATCTTTGCCTTAATGTTTCTGTCTGAAATCCTACTTTATCTGCTATCATTATCACTCTAATTTTGCACTGTTTTATTTTTGTCCTGCATAATTTTAATTGTAAACTGTGTGTAGGTAGATTTTGGTTTCTAATCCAGTTCTTAATATATTGTGACATATATATTTGATTATTAATCATACAAATATCTGAGAAACAGATTTAAAGTGAACTGTTTTAAAGGACAGAAGGTTTTAAAATGTATTCTCTAAACATCCCCCTCTTCCCACCCCACAGCTTATGCACTCTCACCTTCTATAAGCCTT